AAAAAAAAAAAAAAAAAAAAAAAAAAATTACATATAAATTGGAAATATATAAATATTCAAATGAATAGTCTTCTGTTGCTTCAAACAGTCTTCATTAAACAGTAAGAGTTCTTAGAATCATTAATTTATTGGCTTATTTTCAGAATAAGATGTTTTTATAAAGGATTTAGAAAAATATTTTTAAAAATACGTACCTTGATTATCATTAAATACACTTAGTGCAGGAGCCACCTCAGTTGTATTCCACAAACGAAGAGTGCCATCTGCTGAACAGGACAACAAACGCTGATGTGCTGCACTGTATGCCAAACCCCAGACTGCATCTGTGTGGCCTAGCAGAGGACCTCTTAAAACAGAAGGATCTATATAAAATAGCAAAAATACAAATCAGAAGGAAAAGAAATCATAAAGATACTTAGCCTCCAGAAAAAGTAAGATATTTAAACAAAAGCACCTGATCACAGTATAAAATATATTCCCCAGTTTCTATTATTCTTCTCAAATACTGCAGCAATTAAAAACAGGCTTGGAAATAAGCAAATGTACAACTTAACATTTCAAAATTAAAATTTAAAAGCACATCATCTTCCTTTTAAGAAAATTAGGGACATCCTTCTCCTTTCCTTTTATCCTTCCATTTGTCTAGATTTTTTTTTTTTTTAATTTTGAATTTACCTTTGGAGAAAACACAACTCATACTGTCTGAGGAAGTGAACAAAGGTCTTCCCCTCTCTGAATTTCTTAAGCACTTTGGCTATACCTCTTTCTGGCCACCTATCCTATTGTACAATGACAATTGTTCGAATATTAAATTATCCATACTTGAGAGGAACCGAGACCTATAGGAATCCCCAAATCCTTAATTCTCAGAGAGAAATAACTAGGATATGAATAATGTGGGATAATGGGGCAGGGGCAGGAGAATCGTCTCTTAGCATAGTCTTTTTTTTTTGGTCATTGATGGACCTTTATTTTATTATTTACATGTGGTGCTGACAATCGAACCCAGTGCCTCACACATGCCAGGCAAGCACTCTGCCACTGAATCACAACCCCAGCCTTAGCAGTCTTATGATAAAAGTAAAATTGGAAACTACAGTTATTAATTCTGACAAAGATTCTATGAAGTGATGCTTTCAAGATGTCTCACAGAAATGAAGTCTGGAAATGCCAATGGTATTATGGGTCTTATATTCTCTCTCAGATGTACCATAAAATGTTTATTGAAGACAAACTGTGTGTCAGGCACTATGAGTAATGCTCATGCCACACAATACTACCCTGTCCTCAAAACACTATGTTGGAGGTATAGTGCTAGTGACAGATACTAGTTACTACAGAATGTAATTGAGATGAATGTCAACTAGAGTATATAGACGTCAGTCAGAGAATAGAGGGAAGCCATGCTTGGCAAGGAGGCAGCACCTATAAAATCACAGAAGGAAAAAAAAAACTTGATGTGCAAGGAAATTTATGAGCAGTTCAGTATTAATGGAGTGTGGATTATGAAGCAGAAAGTGCATGAGAAGAGGGCAGCTAGTTTATGCTGGGATTTCTATGACATATTAAGAAACTTGGAAATTATCCTGATAGCCATTAGAGATTCACTGAAGAATTTCCTGGAAGCAGAAGGGGCAGGTAAGTATTAAATAAGGTAACCTTGCCTCTGGTACAGAAGACAGATTGGACAGAACTAGATAAAGCAAAGGGACTGGTTCAGTAAATTGGAAGAGTAATGATAAAGACCTAAGCTAGGGCAGTGGTACAAGGGAAGGAGTAAATTCAGAAAATATTTACAAAGTCATATAAAAAAAAAAAAACTAAGTAATTAGTAAGCTGTGGATAGTATGCCAAAGCAAGGAATCAAGGAAAACTCCTAGGTTTCTAGTTTTGATCATTCTGATAATGCTACCAACTAAAAAAAGAAACAAAGACATTCTGAGATATACAGATGAGACAGACACTTTGAAATTTTCTATAGAGATTCTGCAGCTTAAAAAGGATTTATGAGTCAACAGCATATAAAACCACAGAAGTAGGTTTAATTTCCCAAGGAATGTATATATATTACAAAGAATGACTTAGCATCTGGGTCTTCATAAATGCCAATATTTAAGATGAGAAACAAAAGAAGTTTATGAAGGATAGAGAACAGAAACCGTCATAAAAACTATCAAAAAGCCAATGAAATAACAAATTTCCAAAAAAAAAAAATGGACTTGTTAACATTATTAACCACATCAAAAATACTCTTAGATTGGGCAATTAGCTCACCAACAATCTTGTTATGTTTAAGTGATGTAATTAGAAGACAGAATACAGAGGGACGATGCAAAGGGCAAAGACATGGCATTCGTAACTAGTAATTATATTTTTTAGACAATACCATCAAAAAAATAAGGGAAAGATCTTGTCTGGGATGGGAGATACCTGATATGATGAAGGAAGAGAGAGAAAACAGAGTAAGGCTTAATTAAGAAGACAGAGAAAGAGGAAGTCAAGAGGTTAGAGTGCTGTCCCAAAGGAGACACAGAGATTAAAGTACAGTCCCTTCTAGTGTAGAAAGAATAAGGTCAAGAGCAAAATGAGAAGGACTGGCCTAGAATAAAATGGGGAACAGCTGATTCCCTAGGAGAGAGGTAAAGAAGGTAAGGAAAGACATGGAACAGATAAATGTGTAAGAGAACTGCAGCAACTTTTCATAAGATATGTTTAATGTTCATTACATAAATGTTGGAGAATATTTTTATTTACTGCATTTATGTTTACTTAGGTTTGTTGGTAAAATTAATTTAAAGTAATAATAAACTTCAAATATACTTTTTTGACAAATGACACTTTAAACTATCCTAGAACTTAACCAAAAACCAAAACAGCCAATTTCTAAACAGTTTCTGCAAGAAAACTGATGATATCTAGTGATGGATTATCATATGGATTTATGACTTATGATACTATTCCTTAGAATAAAGGGCATTTCTAAAGTTTTAAGTCTTATATATTTTGGTGGCATGGACTTTAAAACATTTTAGCTCCTACATCCTTCCGATAATTTTACCAAGGGGATAATGACAACATCCATTTTACTTCAAAGTCATTTACCAACAGTGATGAAATATGATTAAAGATTAGTAACAATGAATTAAGTACCAGGCAGATGACTAAATGAAGACATCAACTGTCAATCAAGTCAGTATTTCTAATCAGTAAGACCCTGGGAGAATGAAAATTGTTTTCTCATGAAAAATGTTTCTTTTTTTCTTTTAGAATTATATATCAAATTGATTCCTAAAGGTAGGAATTTGCATTTTAAACAAAATAAAGACAAACTTCTGTCTTACCTATTATTTTTTTTAAATATCCAATTTTGTCCTTATATATAAATGATGTAAAAATGTTTAAAAGGAAAACATTTTGTTCTTTCAGAACCTTGAATCACATACCATAAGAGTCATAGGGATCAATGTTGGGATTAGTGGTATTCCAGCCCTGGATCAGTCCGTCAGTACCACCACTATAACACTGCTCGCCATTGCTGCTCATTACTACACAAAGCACTGGACCTCTGGGATATAAGTAAATAAACAGGTAAGTATAAACCGCTACTCTTAAAAAAAAAAAAATCAATTCTAGAGCATAATTTGTTAAAAATACAAATGCTTAATTAATTATTCAAATAGATTTCTATTTTTCTGCTTTTTATAATGAATGAAAATACTATCAATACTATTCTTCCTCTGCTAAATCAGAAGTTGGTAAATGATGGTCCTCAGGTCAAATGCTACCAAAACGTTTGTTTGATTTTCAAACAAAACAAATAAAACAAAAATTAAAAACAAAAAATACAGATAGTATGTAGCCTTCAAAATCTAAAAAAAATTGATTAAATAATCCCTTATGTAAAAAATATACCAATCTTTGTACTTTAATGGAAACAAGAAAATATATATGCTTACAATAAAAAACTTGATACACACACACATTCTCTCGCTTGCTCTCTCTCACACAAACATAATTTAAACATCACACAAATAAAAATCCAGCAAGGATTCCTACTTGGTAGTGATAAATTTGTTTTTAGCATTATATGATCTGTCAGTTTCTTTTATATTCCAAAAACCCACTACTAAATATGAAACTTACATAATAAATACATAAGTTAAAAAAAAAAAAGACCTAATCAAGTTGTTTAAAATATATTGGTTTAGGGGCTGGGGTTGTGGCTCAGTGGTAGAGTGCTCGCCTAGTGTGCACGAGGCACTGGGTTTGATCCTCAACACATAAATGTAAAATAAAGATATTGTGTCCACCTAAAACTAAGAAATAAATTTTAAAAAATATATTGATTTAAAATAAAAAAAATACTTACTTATGAGCCCTGAAAGTATAGATAGGCTCTACATCAAGAGAAGTACTCCTAAATCAGAGAGAGAGAAGACAAATTCAACTACTTTAAATTTCAGTAGTAAAAAGTATAACTCAATATACATCATAATACTGATGTATATTGAGTTATAATATTATTATAATATATCATAATACAGACACTATGGTAATATACCATTCTCAGTCACAGGATACATAAAAAACTTCAATCACACTTTCATGTGGTATCAAGCTCCTTGTTTAATAACACTTTGTTACAATGTTTTTAGCATTGCCATAATCTATTTGACTTAAGGGAGAGACTGCTTCACTCAGGGCATTCAACATAGGATTGGAAGGACTAGTTCTGTCATTAACTAGCTAACTGAAAATAAGCAATTTTAGTCTTTCAGTGCTTCAGAATCCTTTATATTTAAAATAAGAGAAAAATGGGGGTAGCACCACACTCAAGGATTCTACAAGTTTAAAATAGTCAAGGACTACAACCATGTATAACAGGATTTCAACAAATGATACTTTTAATTTCCTTGTAATTCCGTGAAGGTCTATCCTTGATACCACAGAAACTGTCCAAGTCATCAGTTTGCTCATTACTAAGGTACTAAGGATATCACTATGGGTTGGTTACACTACACTAACAGGCCAACTAGATTTAAAGTCAAGTATTTACCATTTTCTACATTATTTTACAGTACTTTATATAAGCATATATTCACTGTCTTCAAATCATTTCCAAGTTTTAAGTTCAAAAGCAAACGTGTCACTGCTACTTTCATGTGATGTTACTAGGTTATTACCAGCAAGTAACTTGTTTCAATATATTTCTAAATTTCAGTAAAGAATATATAATGAAACATTCACATCTCTTGCTCAATGATTGTTCTAGAAATAAAACTAACACATTGTGACCAAATAACTAAAAAGGCAAGAGGCACATGTATAAACAGGAAAATAACTAATCCATAAGAAGTTGCATTTGGTTATACCAAGATCGGGTTGACCTATCTGTTACAGACTGATAAATCAAGTATTTTATCTACCCTATGTATGATTCTCAGCATGATTGCCAATGATCTCCTTTAAACTGGGCAATAGATTTCCTCTACCATTAATAAAATTTGTATAGCCTCCTTCATTTGATGCTCATTTGCACTTTTAAAAGTGCCCGACACAGCAGAAGGGCCTTTGTTGGCACAAGCTAGCTCAGTACCGTGTGATCCGAGGAGGAAAAGAACTCCAATAAGCACCACACCAAGTGGAATTAAGGCTAGCTTGAGACTTGATAAAAAAAAGTTTATGCTAAATCACGTCTGTTGACACTTAAGAACCAAGGGGTCAATGTAAACACTAGCTGCTAAGTAAAGGCAACAGTGTCTTTCAGTTAGACATTTTGGTTGGTATGGAAAATACTTAAAGACTCAAGGCTAAAAAAATAAGACCAAAGAGAGGTGCCCTACCCCATTAGCCTTTCCTTTCTTCCAACCCATTAAGTCCAAACTTAGTAAACAATGGAGCAGGGTAGAGGTTTCATCATTTTAAACATATCTACCTATACCTGTTTACCAAAACAGTAGAAATTTTCAGTAGAGACATGGGACTTCCCAATTATGACCACCACTCAAAAGGGCTATTATCAGCATTTATAAACTCTGGGGAAACCATAGATAATAATTTTTTTCTTAAACATCAGTTTTCCAACCTAACATGAGATTTATAAAAGGGCAATTATGTGTTGAGGTAAAGAAAACTAGAAGAAATATTTGGGAAACTTAATAGCAAATAATTTAAAAATATTTTTCTGCTAAAAAATGTAACCAAAACATAAAAATAAAGTTAAAGTAGAATATTCTTACTTTTTGGCTGGGGCTGTTTTCTGCAAATTCCACATTTTCAATGTGTGATCCTCTGATGCTGTTATCAAAACAGGTTCAATGGGGTGGAAAGCAAGTGCTCGAATGCCATCAAAATGACTTCTTAATGTAAATTTAGGATTCCAAGTCTTCCTCAGTGCATCTTTATTGTTTGCTATCTATTCAAGAAAGAAAACAAAGACACCTATAGATTTAGTTAGGGAGGGGGAAAAAACACTACCTTTAACATTAACTCTTACTGATTTGTTATTAACCATCACAATATGTAACTTTCAAAAAAAACCCATAATTTTTAAATGTAAATAACCAAACCAACAGGCGAAATTAACAACATATAAACAATGGATTGCTTTGAAGAAACATGAAACTTGAAATAAATAAGTTAATATAATTTCATATGAAAATGGATCAAATAATAATGCAAAACAGATCTACACAATGCTATCGTTCGGATCCTGAATGTCCCACAAAGGCCTGTAAGTTGAAAGCTTGATGGGCAATTTGTGGCACTATTGGGAGGCAGTGGCACCTTTAGGAAATGGGGCCTAGTGGGAGAAAATTAGATTATTAGGAGTGTTGCCTTGAAGAAGATATTGGGACCCTGGCTCCTCTTTATTTTCTTTTTACTTCCTTATTGTCAAGAGTTCCCCTCAGGGCTGGGGTTATGGCTCAGTAGTAGAGTGCTCGCCTTGCAAGTGCAAGGCCCTGGATTCAATCCTCAGCACCACATAAAAATAAATAATATAAAGGTATTGTGTCCAACTACAACTAAAAGATAAATATTTTTTTTTAAAAAAAAGAGTTTCCATCATTATATACTGCCTTACAAGGGGCCTAAAACCCACCAACTAACCATGGACAGAAACATCTGAAATCACAAGCCAAAATAAACTTTCCTTTCTTATAAGTGGTAATCTCAGGCATTTTGTCACAATGACAGAAAGCTTACTAACACAACTAGGATGACTCTAAAACCAAGTCACTTAAACTAAATTATAATACATAAAATAAAATTTATGGTAATAGTTGAAAAACTAGGTTATCTATAAACCTGTTAACATTAGAGAGAAGACTAAAAAGTTTCACTAGATGCTGGATAGACTCTTTTTGGGGTTAGCAGAGAGGGAACGTAAGTCAGGTTCTACTTCTAGCATGATGAATTAGGTAATATGGACTAGCCCTGTACTAAGGACAAGTAGAAAAGCTGAACTAAATATTAAACAAAAATGAATAACCAACAAAAATGTGAAGAAAAACCCAGCTGTCACGGTGCAAGGGATGAAGGTAGGTACGGGTTAGTGGGTGAACACAGAACAAGGCCTAAGGAGGTCAGCTCAATCTGGGGTTATTTTTCCCCAGAAGTGTTTACTGATTCCAAAAGGGATGGCTGAGAGACCAAATAGTGCTTCTGATGGGCTCATACTGGCATAGGGATAGGAACTGGTGTCTAGGACCTGTCAAGAGGGGAAACTTCATGAATCACTTTGTTTTGGATTATGATTTCAAAGGGCTGCCTCCTAGAAATAAAGGTGAATAGAAGAAGCTAAGCCCTTGCAGGGACCATACATCGGTTTTCGAACATAAAAAGTAGAGTGGGGCATGGTGGCACATGCTTATAATCCCAGGGGCTCAGGAAGCTGAGGCAGGTGGATCACAAATTCAAATCCAGCCTCAGCAAAAGCAAGGTGAGACCCTGTCTCTAAATAAATACAAGAGGGCTAAGGATGTGGTTCAATGGTTGAGTGCCCCTGAGTTCAATCCCTGGAACTCCTACTCCCCAAAAAATTGAACATGTGATTCCAAGTGTCTAATAGCTATAGACATCTGAAAAAAGCAAATTAAAATATATTTATGGAGGAAGATATAATCTTAGGTCTGAAGTTATCTCTATAGTAAAATTTTCAAATGTAGTTATTTGGACATAAAAATAACCATGTACATGAGATAAGGCATATTAAAAAAGTGAGGAAACAACATATAATATTAATAGAACTATAGTCTCCAACTTTAAAATAGTCATGCTTACTATGTTCAAGATAAAGAAATTTGAAAAAAATTTGCAAATTAATAATAAATGATCGGAGAAACAAAATCTGTAAAACCTCAATAGGTAGGCTTAATTACAGATAAAACATTATTTAATATTTAATATTTAAGAAGAAATGGCTGAGAAATTTACAAAATTAATGACAACACACCAAGCCATGAAGATCTAAGAACCCTCAGAAATTTAAATAAGAAGAAAACTAAACCTTGCCTAACAACAGACACAAATGAAATCAGTCAAAGAAATCAGGCTACCATTAAATGACAAATAACAGAAATGATACAGTTGACTTTAGTAAGAAAAAATAAAAATAAAAAGACAATAAAATAATGTTTAAAGTTAAGGAAAAAAACAATAACAACTTCTGCCAACCAGAATTCAATATGAGATAACAGTTAACCCACTCAGGCTAAACAAAGAAATTTAAGAAAAACCAGAAACTAAAAGAATTATATACCCTCATTAAATAGAAGTATTAAAAGTGTTCTTAGGGTGATCCCAGGTGGACAGTGAGACATGCAAGAAAGAATGAAAAAAAAGCAAAATGTAAAACAGATAATCCTAACTGAATATAAAGTATAAAAAACAATGATACCTTATAGAAGATATAAATTTAGAAATATATAACAAGAATGATGATAAATAGGGAGGGAGTTAAATAGAGTTAAAAGTATTCTAGGGACTTCACAAATAAAATTTTAATAAGGATTTTATGGTAATCTCTAAAGAAACTATTGAAAGAAAAGCAAAAGCTTGTGTAAACTCTAAATAACAGAGGGTTAGAGACTTGCAATAATAAAAACATAATCCCTAAGTAGGCAAAAATAGAAAGAGGAAAGAGAAAAGAGAACAGAACAGGTGGTAGACAGTAGATTTAAAACCAAATATATCAATTAATTACTTTAAAAAGAAATGGACTGAATGCTCTAATGAAAAGAAAAAGGCTGTCATAAAAAAAGAAAAAATCAACTAAATGGTGTTTTAAAAAGATAAATGTAAAACATAATATAAAAACACTGGAAACAGAAAACTTTTTTAAAAAAAATTGTATCACATGCGGAGAAGAATGAAAGAAACCTGTTTAGGTTACTGTACTAGTTCTGGGTAAGGAACAAAAAATAGACATGAATAGGAGGTGAAAAAAAAATATAGATTTCAGCTGTGTTTGGAGGTAGAACCCAAAAGACATACTAATGGAATTAATAAAGAGAGTTGGAGGTTTTGATTTGTAGGAAGAGAAGTGTGTGGCAAGGAGTGCTTCTTTATCATCCTGTGGTTTACTTGAGGATCCATTCTACATACCCAGTATTGGCCACAGGGGTCACACTATCTTCTCCAGCAGAGAGAATAAGCTCTCAGTGAAAAGATTTTAATGAAATGGTTAAGACAGTTTATAAATACTTTACCTGTGAAACAAGCAATAATTCTTCTGACAAATTTACTGTGGTGAATGAACATAAATGCATTTATAAAACAACATCTGGAATTAAGTAAATGCATGCACAAACATACAAGGGTTTCAGGTTTGGTTCAAATCTCTGACAGTCAGTCTTCACATATGGAAGTACACATCTCTGACTACCAATAATTAAAAACATATTTCAACAGAATAATGGTTGATGTATTTAAGAAACAAGGAAAATGTTGTTTTAGGTTGGCATATTTCAACTAACCCCTGTTATCCTTCAACTTTTACAAAATAAAACCCAAACTTGTGCAACTCTTTCTCTAACCAAAACCAATATACAAATTAACTGATTTATGGATTTAGGTAAAGTGTATAATTTTAATCTCTAGATTATTTGGAAAAATACTGGCTTAATTTTACATTTATCTTTTTTCGAAGTTTGCATTTAAAATTGAACCAAGTCTATACTTGTGAAGAAATTTTACAACTGACATTTTTTTCCCCTATAAAATTAAATCTCTATTTTCTAAAACTGAGTAAAAACATCAAAAATAAAACTACTTACATCATAAGCAAGTGAATCTGCTTCATTGGCCACTGTAAGGCCAGCTAATTCTCCAAGTCCTAGTTCACTTTCAAGGGCTTCATCTGCTCCCATGATGAATGACTTCCCAGAAGAAGGAGGAAATGTCAGTGCTTCCACTGAAGTGAGAAGAAAAAGAAACACTAAAAACCTCTATTCTTTCCTTTTCACTATATAGAATAATACTACAATGGAAGGAAAGTAAGTTTCTCCCATTCAATATTTCATGCTAATGTCTCAAATAATTTCTATCAATTACTAAACATATAATAACAATTGGTTCTGAACACTGCTGGTCTCATAAAAAAAACTGATATAACCTAGAAGACTATAGATGTTTTTAAGTAAAAATGATTAAAATTGTAAAATGTGCCTATTTGAGGCAAAATTAGTATGTTGGATTAGAAGTCAGGATCACTTCTGAGAGGCGGAAAAGGGCTGTGATTAGAAGGGACACAAGCAAGGCATGGATGGCTTGGTAATGTTGTACTTGACCTTGGGGGTGGTAGCATGGGTGGGTGATAATTCTGACTTTGTGGTAATTCACTAAGTTATATATACCCTATTATTTAGCACTTTTCTGTGGGTATATTTTATTTCATTTAAATTTTCATTTCGAAGAATTTTTTTAAAGTTCATTTGAATACTTTCACTGCTGCCAACTGTGCTTCAAGATGCAGACTAACTTTGTAATAAACTTGAAAATATTTCCTTTATAACTCTGGGCATAGCAATCCAATTCTTTCAACAACCATAACAGAAGAACCAGTTTTATAAAATGCTAAATTAAAATAGATTTTTATTTGGTCAATAATAAAATGTCACTTCGTAAAGAAAAATTATTCTGACAAACTGCCAGAGATAGTCTTTGAATAGTTTCCTAGAGATGGTTCCTTTACTGATGACAAACATTTATGAGTTAATTAGATGAATTTAGTAGTTCAGTTCAAACTATTTGCTAAAGAGGTAAATTAACTTTTTCTTAAAAGAAACAAGTCAGTTTTATTAACTAGTATATGTAGAAAAATATATTTACAAGATGTTTTTCATTATATTCAGTCATATCTAATAATATTTGTTTAATAAAATTGTTTTTTAAAGCAGTCACAGATATTCTACATAAAATTCTTGTCAGAACAAAACAAAAAGATGTTATCAAGCCAATATACAATATAGCGGCAATAATAAAAATTGGGTTTTACCTGAAGTATCATACATCACTGAGGGATCCAAACAACTCTAATACAGAGAGCGATTGTTTAAGTGAGAATAGTAGTTTACAGGCCAAAAATTCAAAAAAATGACTCATATGAGACCATGAGCTGTCTCCAGCCAAGTTTTTGTTTTATTTTCATCTCTAACCTTTCCAGATAACTTTGTTCAGATGAAATAAAAACAACTCCAAAAAATTTCTAAGATTCCTGGGATTGACCATACACATTGTGTAAGCTAATTTTAACTAATGCTCTCAATTTAGTTAAGTAAAACCTGAACAAGGCAACATTGATTTCCTCACATACCAGTAGCCAGACACTGGACCTATGGACTGAAGACACAGCAATATGGAATAACTGTTATTTGATTATTCTCTATGGCCTCAGAACTTAAAGGCCTACAGGCCACAATTCTTTCTTTTTTTTTAAATATGTGTGTGTATATATATACACACAAACACACATGTAAATATTTTAGTAGTGAATTGACCTTTTAAAAAAATTATTTATGTGCAGTGCTGAAAATCAAACCCAGTGCCTCACACATACTAGGCAAGCGCTCTATCACTGAACTGCAACCCCAGCCTCTATTAATTAATTACTTTAAAAAGAAATTTATGGAGCTGGGGATGTGGCTCAAGCGGTAGCGCGCTCGCCTGGCATGCGTGCGGCCCGGGTTCGATCCTCAGCACCACATACAAACAAAGATGTTGTGTCCACCAAAAAAATAAATAAATAAATATTAAAAAAAAAAAAGAAATTTGTGGCCCCTATAGGCCACAAACATTACTAATTAGATTTTATAAAATTATTTAACATGCCTCTTAAACATGACACTAGCCTCATGACTAAAGCTAGATGCAGTGGTGCATGCCTGCAATCCCAGTGAGTTAGGAAGCTAAGGCAAGAAGATCACAAGTTCAAGGACAGCTTCAGCAATTCAGGGAGGCCCTAAGTAACTTAGTGAGACTCTTGTTTCAAAATAAAAAAAAATCTAAAATAAAAAAGGGGACATAGCTCATGGTAAAGCACCCCTAGGTTAAATTTCCAGTTCTGTCAAAAAAATAAATGAATAAAAAGTAAAAACTCATAGTGTATACAAAGGCTACAGAAGCTTCTTCTGAAAGTGGATGGGAGGCCAAGAAGCATCAGTCATAAGCAATTGAACACACATCTCTTTTGTGTGTGTGTGTGTGTGCTGGAGATTAAACCCAGGGCCTGTACATGATTGGCAAGTGCTTTACCACTCAACTATGTCCCCAGACCTCAAAGAACTATATTTATATATCCCAGGATTATACTGTAAAATAAAAATGAAAACAATCTAAATATTCAAAAGGAAATGGCTTCATCTCATCTAAAATATAATATAGAGTATTATAGTTTGAAATTATTTGTATTTTTATGTTAAGTATAAAACAAACTAGAATTGTTCTATATAATAACTATAAAAAGTGAATCAGGACTGAAAGAGAACAAGAAAACATGAAAAGAGAAATATGAAAAGAGAAAATGTGACAAGGCTTTCAGGTGACTTTTTGTCCTTTTTGTTTATCATTATACTCAATAAAATATTTATGAGTCTCAAAGTAAACATTCACTACCAATTTTTTGACACGATTTTCTCAGTGTTGGAATGGTATATAAAGGGCCTTTCTTACATGTCTGTGAAGCTGGAGGATATTCTAAACCAGAATTTAGAGTGGGTTTTTAAATTATGCACTCTTTCCTAAACTCCAAAGATAGAAGTTKAAATCAACATCCCTTGAATGTAAGAAAGCTTGTATTTGGTGAACATTATATAGATTAAAAAGTAAAGTTCCAAGATAGGACAATCTTTTATAATGATAAATTTAGAGATATATGTCCAAGTGCTTTCTTTGCTCCAGAGTGTCTCAAGTACTTGCCTTCATCTGCCCTATTAATTTCATGCTCAGGAAGCCTGGAGCTGCTAGGTCTGGAAGGTGAACCCACAGATGGCTGCAATGAAGGAGTTCATCAACATCTCTCAAATTAGCAAGCATATCTTGTAGTTTTGACCTATTGGGCCCTAGCCAAAAAAAAAGGGGTAGGGACACAAAAAAGAGGGAACAGAATTATCAAACTGCCATCAAAATGGTACCACAAAACTTATTTCACATCTTCCAGCATTAACCTTTAGAAAAATCTTCATAGATGAATAAGAAACAATTATTTTCAAAGTTTTCATTTTATTCTAAAAGTTTGTCTTGAAAAACAATTATATTTTACATATATTTTATAAATTAAGCTAACAAATATTATTTCCATAAAAAAGAATGCTTATGTCCTATGTAGACATTAAAACTCACATTACTCTACACTTGAACCATTGAACAGTGCTCTAAATGAAGACAGATTCCAAAGACTGTGACCCTACTATGTACCCAATTAAACAATAAAACCCATGTGTATAAATTAAGGTGCATTCACTGCCTTGCATCCTGAAGCTATGACACCCAAGGTGAAGTCTCATTCCCTGCAGATTACTTACCTGAGCTTTGATTCTTCCTTCTCCCACATCCCTGTTTTGACTGTTTTATATAGGATAGAGGCTGAAACAGATCTTCGGTAGTTTTTCCTGTTATAAGTTTAATTAAGAATGGGATAATCTTACCCATAGTCTGTTATGGTTTTCCCCTATACCAGCAAAGAATACAAGTATTTCTAAGAAATTTTAACTAATACCTAGAAATATATTTCAAGATAGTAGGTCTGAAGTACACAATTTGACTGGAAATATTTCCACTAGACTAATTAAAAGGACTCAGATTTTTCCAGTGGGTAATGCTTCAATTAAAAATATTTATAGTAGTTTATAAATTAGTGTTACATATACCAATTCAAAGCTTTGCTTCAATTCTTTTTCTAATCATAAATCTTAAGGTTGTTACCACATTGCTATTTTATCAAGACAACATGAACTAAAAATGAAAAACAGAAACTGCCAATGAAAGACATTAAAATTTCTCCCCAGAGTCATTTTCTTTCATTATACCAAAAAAAGTGCTATATTCCTGAATACGGATCATTATCCCAAAATGAAGAAATCCAATTGCTTCTGTTAGTAGGAATACTGTTCCAGTCAAATGATGCACTTCTATATTTCACGTGCTCAATTCTGACTATAGTGACTCCTTGATATTGTAAGAAGAACTAAATAATCAATGTAAGAATAGATGAATTCTATTTAAATTCTGGCTACCTTTTCAATCTGAAGGTCTTTATGGATATTCATTTTTATAGTATAAAAACCTAAGGAAATATATCAATATACAGTATAGACATTTTCCTCAAAATTTCAGTTTGTCTGGTTTGGACATGGCTACAAAAAGGAATGTAAAATTATGTCTCATTATGTTTGTTAATTTTTTATCAGTATATTTGAATAAAGGGCACAGAATGTTATTATGTTTTATATTAATATCATTCTCATTTTATCTATGTTACATAGCATTAAATTATATCATCTCTCATTATAAAATTGTTGAAACTATGCTAATATCAATAGTGGACACTAACCTTTTTTAAAATTAAGCTGAACAATGGTAAATTCARAGATCCTTTAAAATAAAGACTTAAATGTTTTTAAGTAACTACTAGGTTGTAAAAGGATATCTTAATAGGGATGACTGATCTTAAGCTTTAACATCAGTAAAAAGTGGGGRAGGACATCCCTCTAGTCCTTTGCAATTTATAAAAATATATTACTCACTAAGTTTAGATTTCAACCTCTATTTACACTACTTTCATATCTCAAAAGATGAAATTCCCATTCCGACAGAAGAGAGATCCATGATCATATTGTCAATGAGGGTAGTAGCACAAGGAAGTTTTTAGTCTTGCCCTCCTAAAAAGATAATTCAGATTGTTTTTAGGGAATTTCCATTTTCATACTTAACTAGCTCTATTTCTAACTTTTAATTTGCATAGCAAGTTATATGATTCACAGGGCTAGAAATTTCATTTTGGCTTGTTTTTGATGTGGCACAGAATTTATTGAAAAGAAAAAAAAGGCAATTGGTAATAGTGCTATAAATTAAATTGGCCAAAACTTTTAAATTAGAAAACAAATACTTTTTAAAGTTGTGTATTTGACTCTGTGCCCTGTATAGCATATATTGGTGAGAGTAAATGAACTGTGTTGTGAACACAAAGAATATTCAGGGGTAGAAATTAATTTCCTTTTGTTCCTAAGATCTAAAATTATAAGCAGTAATTACAGTGGTTTGCCAGTGAGGTTTACTAGATGAGATTTATAAATTGCCACTGGAAATAAATATCATTACAATGAAGCATACATACTTTTTTTTCTGGTACTGGGGATTGAACTCAGGAGCACTTGGCCACTGAACCACATCCCCAGCCCTATTTTGGATTCCATTCAGAGACAGGGTCTCACTGAGTTGCTTTGCTTAGTGCCTCACTTTTGCTGAAGCTGGCTTTGAACTCGCAATCCTCCTACTTTAGCCTCCCGAGCTGCTGGGATTACAGGCGTGCGCCACCACACCTGGCTAAGCATACATACTTTTAAAAAATCAATTTATCATCATGTTTGAATACATAGCCCAACACTCTCACGATGCTCTAAATTTGTTATTGGGATATACTGTGATTCCATGATCATGATTTTAAGTTCATAATCAAATAGCTAACAATTTAATTTCAACCCCTGAGAGCAGGTGAAAAGGAAAGAAGTAAGGAACAAAAAAGAAAAAGAGTAAGTAGTTTTAGGAAAACATTGGAGGAAAAAAAAAAACTTGGGAGATGTAAAAGAGGCAAGATTTATTATTTATAAATACAATGTTTTCCACTTACTCTTCACCCCCTTTTTCCCCTTTCTCTCCTTTTTGTATTGTTCCTTGAGTTTGGTAATTACTCCCTGGTCCACATTCCAGGCTTCGGGCATGAGACACTGGTCCTCCTTTTCTAAACAGAGGAAAACAAATGAAACAGCCTTTTTCAATAAAATATTGAACACTGTAAGTCAATGTGTCTGAAAGACACAACAATTTTCTTCATAGCATCACTAGCTAAAATAAAGTCATTATTTATTCATCAGATATTTAAGTTGCACAAAATACAGCAGCTAAGAAATAACAATCAAATCTAATTAACAAACTTCCCTTGAAAGAGACATCAAGAACCTCTCATTTTTCATTCCATTTTCTAAATGCCATTAGGAATGACTGGAAAAAAAACAACCACTTAATATTTACTTATGTGATGAGAGACAATTACTGAGATTGTACAAAATAGTATCCAATGATCGTTTCCCTTTAAGAGTTTTATACTTTTGGCATGTKTTCATCAACAAATGATGATTTTTATTTTATTGGCCTTATAAGTAGATTTTTATAAAACTTATTAAGTAGCCTTCATTCAAAATGCAAAATAATTTAAATGACATGATTATTTATAAATTCCCCAAACAGGAAACTCAGAACTTCTGGTAAATAAAGAAATTAATCAWTATTTCAGGAGAAGACTATTTAAAGAGTAAATATGTTGCAGGTCATGGTGGTGCACGCCTGTAACCCTAGCAGCTGAGAAGGCTGAGGCAAGAGGATTGCAATTTCAAAGCCAGCCTTAGCAAAAGCGAGGCACTTAGCAACTCAGTGAGACCCTGTTTCTAAATAAAATACAAAATATGGTTGGGGATGTGGCTCAGTGGTCAAGTGCCCCTGAGTTCAATCTCTGGTACCAAAAAAAAAAAAAAAAAGAGTAAATATGTTATATACTTATACTTACCATATAAAACAATTTATGTACTATACAATACTATTGGAAGTGTTAGCACAGAACTCTAGTTTGAATCCATGACACACATAACCAACTGTTCACTCTACTTGTCAACTGGGAAATCGAACAGACATCTCAAACTAAATGGGCAAAACCAAATTCCCAATCTCCTCCACTCAACCAATCTGTTCTATTCACAGGCTCTCTATTTCATCTGATAGCAATTTTATATTTGTATTTGTTCAGATCAAAACCCTTTCCTCCCTCTTCACATCAAATATTTCACTTTCTCTACATTCAAAACATAAGCAGAATCTGATTTCTCAACACAACTACAACTTCTCTGGCCACTCTRATCTCTTGCTAGAATTACTGCAAAAATTATTACCCTTCACCACATAAGACAATTATCAACAGTTCTCTGGGTAGTCTATCTGAAGCATAATAAAGCTTTAAAAGTCAGATTATGTCACCCTTCTACTCATATCCTTCCCATAGCAGCATTTGACATAATCTTATATAAAATGGTCATTTATTACTACAATCCCTCTGCTTCAGACACTCTGGCTCCCTTGAATTCCTTAAGCATGACAGGTATGTTGCTATCTTATGGCACTTACTCTCACTTTCTTCTTCCTCAGATGCCACATAGCCAAATCCCTCATCACAATTTTAAGTCTTTTGCTCAAAGGGCTTACCATAGCAACCCTATTTTAAACTGTAAGTTGCTCTTACCACCCCATCCAATCCCAATTCTTCCTATATCCCTGACCTTGTTCTACTTTTTCTATTTTCCATAGCATTTATCACCCTCTGACATTCAATATCATTTGTTATGTTTATTGCTTACTGCCTAGATCCTTTTACTAAGCTGTGAGCACCATGGGGGTTAAGAATCTTCTAGAAAACCTGGTACATAGACAGCATTTGTTCAATATTTGCTGAATGAATTTTGAAATTATTTGAAATGAACCAGAATAAATAGAAATCTATTTTTAACAACTTAACTTTCAATCTAGTTTAGAAAACTGTTTTTTGAACCTTTGAATATAACACTATTAAAAACAATTTTACATCAACATTTCTAAATACGTAACTATAATCTAAAAACAAAAGGAATAAACTTTATTTTTCAAGAAAAACCTAACAAAGTTTTTACTTTCTCTAATCTGGCTGTAATAATAAATTTAACTGCATGGGTTTTGAATTCTGGAAGGTTTTTAGTCTATTAAAGCAAAAATTTAGCACTATCCTAACCTTCATAGACTCATTACAACAGCACTAGAAGATCATGGAAGATRTTAGTATAATTTATCTATTTACTTGCCAGAAACTAATCAGATTCTTAACCTAAGTACAACTCTTTTTTAAGGGGGTGGAATAGAAGAGAGGATGGCATGAGCACTTAAAATGGTTTAAATGTCCACTCAACTAGACAAGATTTACAGTATAGTTCTGTTAGTTTGTTCAAAGTTCAATAGTTTGAATTAAATTATAAAATTCTTTTTTAGTGTGTGTGTTGGGGGGTATTTACTGGGGACTGAACCCAGCAGTGCTTTATCACTGAGCCACATCCCCAGCCCTTTTTATTTTTTATTTAGAGACAAAGTCTTGCTAAGTTGCTAAGGGCCTCAATAAATTATTGAGGCTGGTCTTGAACTTCTAATCCTCCTGCCTCAGCCTCCTGAGTTGCTGGGATTACAGGCACGCAGCGCCACTGAATATGGCTAAATTAAAAAATTCTTAAAATGCATAGAGCCAAACTACTATAAAAGAAACCTCCAGTGAACTGAKAGCTTTCATTTGCTCACTGAAAATTCCAATCAAAGTAAATAATAGTAACTTGTTTAATTCCTAATAGGAAAAATCACTTAAAAATTCAGCAAACACCTCTAACATTATAATGGTTTCTGAGAAGTAAAGAGTTAAAGGCTACCTTGAATGCTGAAGAAAAGCACTCAAATAATATCTAACTCTTCCAGATCTTGCCCTATTGGGATTATTAGCAATTTACAGAGAAAAAACATTCTTTTCTTTGAGGAATTTTCATTGCAGTGTTTCAGATGGAAAAATAGGTTTCAAAAATATTTTTTGTTTATTAAAAATGTTAGACAGCCTTTTTCCCTGAATTTACCCAACTTGTTCACTTTACTTGTCCATTAGGACAAGTCTTCTTATCAGTTCCTATATAAAGATAACACAAGTGTAAAGAAGGAAAATTCCAAACAAAATTTTTAACACAAGTTTAAAAAGGAAAAAATATTTTTTTTCCATTTTGGCTTTAGAACATTTTTATGTTTCCTTTAGAAAAGCAATGTATTAAAAATTTGGGTTTATATTAATATTTTTAATGTTTATAACTAAAAATGTAACAAAAATTTTCATTTTAAGCAAAAATACTAAACAACATTTGAACATATGTAATATCTGTGTTCCAATATTAAGATGTATATTCTAGTTCTTGAAGGTACATTGAAATCAGTATTTAAAGTAGCTGTTTGAATGGAAGTAAATGAAAAGTTCATAATGTGGTGTATATACATCTAAAAACATATAATCCCTCAAAACAATTTAATTACTTTTATTTTTATGGACAAAGTATTAACTTAAAGGGGAAAAATATATTTCAAATAAGAAACCATTGGTTTGTCTTTTAAGAAAACTGAGTAAAGAAGCTTTTATAAAGATAAACTTAAATATTAAAATAATAGGCAACCTTATATTCCCTCAATAAAGAAACACTTGTCCAAATATTAGACCTTCCCTCTTTTTCTTTCTTACATAGATATATTTAAACCTAAGGAATTAATCATTTTTGAAGATTTAATCATATCCTACCTTATTGATAATAAAAATTTACTTCCATACTACTAGAATGACCTATGCTAAAGAAGTTTCCTCCAAATATTTGTTTTAACTCTTGTTAAGAGGTTTATTAAATTCATTCAGAGTAATTTGAGGGGAAAAAAAAACACTATTCCTGTACACACTGTCAAAATCTTACTTAGAATGAAAGACTACAATTTTCTACGTTCTACCTCTTTGTTGCACAAAAGATACTAGAAATGAGATCTTCAAAATCCTCTAGTTAAAAATTTCATATTAAATTTCCACAAAATACAGATTTGTAGTTTCTACTGTCTAGGCAGAAAATAAATATTCTACATTTGAGTTCAAATTATTTTCATAGAGTATTGCTTATTGTAAAAGAAAAAAAAAAGATAAGGCAACTTATTATACAACTTTCTTTAAACACACAYTCCCTGAATAAATGGCAACAGTAGTTAAAAATCTCACTGGATGTTCAACATTTCAACATCATAGCTCTTCAAGATGTGGCCCTCATGGTAAAGTATTGATTTCTTTTATTTACTTAAATCTCTGGTTGGAGGCAGTATGCTTCCCCTTACCCCAGTCTGTTCCATCGCCTGCACTTCTAGATTCACTGTCTCCTTCCTCTGATGAAACCAAGAAGTCAAACTGCTTCAGAGCTTCTTTTGTATCTCGGTCTTCACTGCTATCAGGCAATGCTTTTTTTCTAACAATCTAATGAAAAAACATGCTAAATTAAAATATGGATATATTTATGAATTTTTATATTTAATTTAAATAAAGGAGACAGTATCCTTTGGCCACTGAATAAGAAATGTTATTCAATTATTTTCTTCAGAAAGTATGTCTTTGGTGTATTAAACTGTACTACCTAACCCAGTGAAAAACACAGATATCATTTTTAAAGGTATACATCATGTATCTTAAAGCAATAATTTAAACTTTGTTCAACGGTATGATGGCTTGTTTTAAATAAACAGAAACCTACTGAAGTCACTGGCATAATAGACACACATTTAAATTGCAGATAGTTGGAAGGCTGAGGTAGGAGGATGACAAGTTTGAGGCCAGTCTCAGCAACTTAGCAAGACCCTTTCTCAAAACAAAAAATAGAACGGTCTGGGGATTTAGATCAGTGATAAAGTGCCCCTGGGTTCAGTACCAACAAAACAAAACTGCAAATATGACAGGGGGTCAGGTTTCACTTTTATATATTTAGAAGTATATATGGAATTACAAATTCAGTTAGAGGGTTAAAACTTAAGACTAATGCATGCAGACATGATTTCTGAGACCAGCATGTCTATACTCTTCATGAATTATCTCCTTTTTGATTACATCAACCAACATGAGTCCTAAGAAATTAGGATAATGGGTCTGCAGCTTCTTTCCATAAAATATCACAATATCTCAATTTTCCAGACTTTAGCTTTCTTGTTTCATGCAAAACAGAAATAGCATGATCTAATCAAACTTCACCCCTGGAATCTTTTGAGTGGTATAAAATTGTAAAGTTTCAGTAGACAGATCAATAGGACAGCCTAGTGAGTCCAGAAATAGACCTTAAGAATTAGCAAACACACACCTGACTTATATGGCCCTGTTCCCACTCTCATATGTGGAATCACTTATCAATCACAGCAATTTACAGCAGAGATGAGATACAGCCTCAGAAAGCTGTCTTATAAAGTACTCTAGGAAGCCACTACCAAAGGAATAAAACTGACCTCACAGATGAAAACAATCTGTCTTAACTGATSTGGTATATATAAAAACTGAACAGAAGAAATAAAGATTATTTAAYGATGCTAGAATAATTGGCTGAACTATTTAAAATATTTCCTTAGTTGAATTTACTGAACTATTTTGATTAAAAAACTGACGCATTTTAATAGGATAATTTTTGGCCATTCTATTTGTCTATATTACATACAATATATTTTCTAAGAACATGCTTATTCACTGTTACAAAGTTTGATTTTTAAAATGCTTGTCATATAAACTTAGTGTAATATAATGTAAAAATTACCAAAACTGTTAAAATCAGTTATTTAAAAAAAAAATTTTCCAGAAATACTAAAAAGCTTTTTAGTCTAGTATTTCAAAGGGGATAAGTCTCTTTACATTAGATGTACCTTCATTGCTTGATCACAGAACTGTTATGATCTGTACCAACTGGAAGACAGAACATTTATGAATTTGATTATTTAAAAACAAAACAACAAAAAAACCCAGCTGGGCACAGTGGCGCACACCTGTAATTCCATCGGCTCAGAAGGCTGAGGCAAGAGGATCACAAGTTCAAAGCTAGCCTCAGTAATTTAGCTAGACCCTAAGTAGCTTTTAGCAAGACCCTGTCTCAAAATAAAAAATAACAAGGACTGGGGATGTGGCTCCGTAGTTACACATTTCTGGGTTCAATCCCTGGTATCAAAATAAACAAACAACATAAAACCCCCAAATGGTTAGGAATTAAGAAATTAAACAGGCTGTTTTTTAGAAATTTCTAGGCTGATAATTCAAAACAGTTTTAATAATTCGTTTATAGATTTTAAATATTTAAGTTGATATAATCACTAACAGCATCATAGTTATTTACCACTTAGCTATAAATAAGGTATTTTTTTAGGAAACCAATATTTCAATGTAATTATCTCATAGGAATCATAAGAAGTTACATAACTTTCAGATGATCAAGGTAGAAAAAATATGTCACAGAAGCTTAGGCTTTTTTACTACAGTAAATTAAGACACAAGTTATTACTATTCATTTGGATAAGAAAATGTTTGAGTGACTATTCAAAGTTCCAATAATATCCATGGCAGGACTATATCAGTAGAGCACTCCTGC